TGTCGTTTTGGGCTTGTTGCGTGAATATTAAAAAAATTAATAAAAATATGCATAGATTTAGAGAAAAAAAACATAGAATACTTAATATGAGTACATTGTAAAATTACCCCCGTGTAATCCCGATTGCTAAAAAAGTGCATGTATTATAATAATTTGCCAAAATCCCCCTATATAATTTTTTTATTAGCTCACCGCACCTATTGTGATTTTAGTCATTGACCAAAGAAGAAAGACAAATATACCCTTCAATTAATAACAAACAATTAGAATTAATATATAATAGAGGCCAAATTGCAATTTTACTAAACTTTTGGAGCTTAAATTAAGATGACTGAATTGTAATTTTCCCAAAATATTATTAAACCGTGGTTGAAACACACACTACGCACACCATCACCGCCAACCTTTTGAAACTCCAATCCGCCACCAACCTCTCCGCCGCCAACTAATCACTAATCGTCTGAAACTCCCCAAAATCCGCCGCCACCTTCTTCACAAAATGCACCGCCGCCACTGCTTAAAATATATATCTCCAACAGAGTCCATCGCCGGCGATCTCGTTAAAGACGAAACCATAAAATAATTACCAAATAAATCGAAATAAAAATGGAAGTTCGAAGTTTTGAGAGGCGTGCGCTTAGTAAGGGTGGTCGGCGAGAGAAGCCCTTTTCAGAGAACCATGATTTTCTAGTGTGGGGGATTCTACCGAACGCCACCGTCACCTACTTCGACAATTATGTATAAAAGGGTGTTTATGTCATTTTTCCCCAAAATTTACAAAGAGAACTGCACAACCCGCGTGTGAGTACCACAATAAGGGACTTTTTCGCATTTGATTTTGGATTATCTGCAAAAAATCCCCTAAACTTTGGGTGTTTTGCGCTTTATCCCCTGAACGGAAAAAAGTTGCACGAGCACACCTCAACTTACTAAATTGTAGCACAGGTGTTGAAATTGACTATTTTTAGCCAAATTATTCCCTGAAATGCACACGTGCAACTCACACGTGCAAATAAAGGGGCAATTTCGCCACCTCACAAGGTTTTTGAAAAAGGAAAAAGAAAAAGAAAAAAGAAAAAAGAAAAAAGAAAAAAGAATAAAAGAAAAAAAAGAGAGAAAATTGGCCTGCATCTTCGAACATGGGAGAAGAGGTTTTCACCTCTTATAAATCAAAAGAAAAAAAATCAGACACCACCACCACCATCTCTGTTCCGCCGCTGCACCACCACCACCACAACAGCAACACCAATTTCATTCCTTGACAAGAGGCTAAATATAAATAAATCACAAAAAAAAAAAAAAAAAAAAAATCATCTTCTTCCCGTCACCAACACCCCCACCAAATTAATCTTCATCCACCCTTGGAGCATTCAAACAAATCCAATCTTGGGCCAAGCGTTGCCAGCCGGTAATAGCCGAAGGCAAAAAAGGGAGAGATAGGGAAGAGGAGATGTTGGATAGTCACTCCACTCCATAGATAGTGCACACAGATTCCTCTTTCATTTTCAATTCATTTCGGGTCGGAAACGCGGGCTGCTGGTGGGGCTGTGCCCATTCTCCCTCTTCTTCCCCATTACAACCGGTTCCGACCGACAACTAATCAATTCATATCGGTTGATACCATGGTCAAGTAGCGTGGCTGAGCTGATTACAGGGGTCCACAAGATGAATGGAAATAACACAATTTGGGGGTTTTGAAAGGAAATAACGCAGTTTTTGGGGGTTGGTTGTCAATGGCGACCGGAAAAAAGTCAAGAAAATTGTTTGACGATTAAGAGCGGGGCGACGGTGCACTGGTCGGGGGAATTGGGTTCGGGAAATCGACGGCGATAGAATGGTGGGGTTGATGAATTGGGTCCTCTATTTCAATGTGGTTGAGTAGTTCTCTATTTCCGTTTGGGGGCGAATCAGAGTCGGCGGGGCGGTGGACGGCGGTGGGCTGAAGGACGAAGAGTAATTTTGGGTTTTGGTGGTGGTGATGTGAAGAAGATGATCTTTTTTCCTTCTTTTTTTTTAAAGAATTATTTATATTTATTAAAAAAATGAAGAAAATAGTAATATTAGGAAAAGACCAATTTATCCCAACTCAAAACATGTGCTTCCCACGTGTTGTGGATGGATTCCGATCACTCTTTGCTAAAAATAGACAATTTTTGTTCCGATGCTACAAATTAGTAAGTTCAGGTATGCTCGTGCAATTTTTTTCCGTTCAGGGGGTAAAGTGCAAAAACGTCCAAAGTTTAGAGGATTTTTTGCAGTTAACCCTTTGATTTTTAATCACAAGGGGATTTTGCTAATTTTTATAATATAGAGATTTTTTTAGCAATTCAAGATTATACAGGGGTGGTATTTGTAATTTACTCACTAAAATACCCATTTATTAATTATTGGGTAAATTACACACACACCTCTGAGGTATGCTTAAATAACTTTAAGGTCCCTGTGGTATCGATAATTACACTCACCCCCTTGAAACGTAGTTATAAACTCTAATGAGATAATGCATTGGATACGTTATTAGTATAGAGTTCTAACGCTCTATTGGTTTTAGGAAGTGGTGGAGACAACAAAGAGTTATGGGTGATTTAAGACATATTTGGGGAGCCATGTCACCACATAACTCCCCATAACTCTATGTTATCTCCACCACTAGCTAAAAATAATAGTTCATTAGAACCCTATCGGAATAATGTATCCAATACATTATCCCGTTAGAGTTTATAACTACGTTTCAGGGGGGTGAATATAATTATCAATACCATAGGGACCTTAAAATTATTTAAGTATACCTCAAGGGGTGGGTATAATTTACCCTTAATTATTTTTTAACTAACTAACTACGAGTGATAAAGTGCTAAATTATAAAAAAGAATTAATGATCAATTGGATTTCTAAAGTGACAAATAATTTGAAAAAAAAAACTCATCAAAAAAGCTAAATACTGTGGGACGGAGGAAGTATGGAACTTGTTATAATATAAGTATATAACTAACCACACAACAATAAGAGAAGTATTGATTTCGGAGTTTGGCATCAATCCCGCTAGCAACACAATAATCTCAAAAGCAGAATACTCCATGCTAATCAATATACATGAAAAACAAAATTGAGAATTTCGTCAAAAAATACGAAAAAAATGGATACAATTAAAAACACAAAATTCTCACCAAACCATAGCTGCAGAAGGCAAAGCCAACTTTAAATTGGAATAAACGTGACTCAAGGACTCCGAAGTGAACCCTTCCCAAGTTTTCTCAATTTTCTTGGCGTTAAAAATGTATAAGACCAACATTAGAAGTGATAACCATAGCGAAATTGAAGCTGCTAATGGAGCTCCCATGTACGCAAGTGAGGTCCGGTGAACCAAAGCATAAGCCAACGTGTAGCGCAAGTGGAATGAATGAGCATACGACAAGTGGCATAACAACATATTGTGTTTGTAGAAACTGTTGGGTTTTTTAATAAAAATAATATTTTATTAAATATTTTCTTTGACCAATTTATGAGGTTATTTGGACCAACATTTTGAAACCTACAAAGACTTTATTTTGCCTCATAAAACCTCCATAATTTCCTTTAATTCTATATTAAATAGAGGTTTTATGGTGCTTATAATTTATAGTATATAAAGGGGACTTTTGTAGCTTTGTAAAGGGAGGAGAGAAGAGAGTACAAGAGAAGATAAAAGAAATACTTTTCTTCTATACTATATACTTATACTTTGAGCTTTTGTTGTGTGTCGGGTGTAAGCTTCTGCTTCACTTGAACGTGCATTTTCGGTGAAGTTACAGCGGAGAGATAGGCTGGGCTGTTGTATCCCATAGGCGACACGATCGGAACCTTTTTGCACCTCATTAGAGAAGGGGTCGTGAAATTCGTCTTAAGAGAGCGACCTAGTCCGCGCCTCACCTTGCCTATCTCCATATTATCGTGGTTTTTATTGCAGCAACTTGTTACATATAAAATTAGAGAACAAATGGAGTACAAGCCTCAAACCACAAGTTTTGTAATCAATCGTCAAATTACAGCCGTGGTTCCAACAGAAACCTTAATATGTTTTGCAATAAACCGTCTGCAAATAGACCGGGGATTAGATATTTGAGATAGAGACCGACTGATTTTGCGAATTCATGATCTTGATGTAGTAATGCCAGAATAACGTCGGAGCACCACCATTGAACAAATACTACGATTGCGAAGATTAGTGTAATGATGCGGGATGCCTGAAGGTATATTCCTAGCATCTTGTACTTTTTCGCACCAAATCCTTGTCCGCATAATGTCTCAAGTGCACCACTTAAGACAATCTACACCAAAAAAATTAGTGGAAACAAATTTCGACAAGTTCTTGTTTGGCTGACAGGATTAGCAATGATTAATTGAATAACTAAACTTTACTGAATATATATTCTTCAGTTAATCCAATAACTTTTTGGGTATGAGCTCAATTGCGAATTTTAGGGTATGCCCTCAGTTGGGGGAAACAACTGGCTCTAATCAGTGGTGGAGCCGGCCGGGGTTTTATGTCGAGGGACCAAATATGCAATTAAAAAAATTATGGGGAGATAATTGGGATAATTTCACTTTTGGTCCCTATATTATACACCAAAATTGATTTTTGTCCCTATTTTTTTCTTGCCGCGATTTTTGTCCTCAATCATAGAATTTTTTAACAATTTTAGTCTACCGTGTGATTTCGGTGTTAATTTGGACCGGAAAAACACGTGTTTTGCACGTGAGGACGCTGAAAGAACACGTTTAGCCCCCTTCTTTAACTATATTTATCAATTAGCCCAAAGTTCACTTTATTGCTACAAATTCGTCCAAAAAGTGAACTTAACAATTGAATTTGTAATTTTATATTTTTTTTCTCACATGCTCCTCCTTCCCAATATCAGTCTTTTATTTTTTGTTTATTTAATTTGATCTGTCAATATTCAGATAAAGACGAACGAAATTGAGATTATTTATTGTTCGTGCCCAACCCAAAAATCACAATAAAAATTAAAAAAAATATCTTTATGTTGTAAAAATTAAAAAAAATATCTTCATCACTGGTTTTTTATAGGATTAAAGAAAGAGTGGTACTGTAACGAATCACTTCCGCCGCTTCAAATCACATGCAACCAGGGGCGGAACCAGTAAGAGACCGGGGGTGGCACCGCCCCTGCAGAAGAAAAAAAACACATTTTTTATTATTATTATTATTTTAATTTGGTATTTATCTATTATGTTATAGACTTTCACCCCCCAAACTTTATTCGTCCAGGGTTGATTGAGTTGATGATTCTTGAGATAGCTCTACTCTTGTCCATTTTGCGAACTTTGTAAGCAACAATAGCCCTACCATCTCTGCTGATACCCCACAAATTAATCCAATCCACAACCCCTGTCCAAAAATATAATGTCACATACAAGAAAACGAAAAAGTTTTAAGTGTGTGTAAAATGTAAATTATGGTAATTGTCTGCAAATAAAGAAAATAGGTTGTCTTAATTTAATTACCTTGGCATGTAGGTTGAATTTGAAACCAAGAAGAGCAGCAATAGGCATGCCAATGAAATAGAAATTACCTATAACAATAAAAACAGCCAAATGCTGCCAACCACATCCTCTCACCACCCCTATAACAACATTTAATTTGCTGCAAAATTATTAAGCAAATCCAATCCAGGATTTTCCCTCAAACCTAAACACTACACCACTCAAGAAAAAAAAAATGAAAAATTATGGTCACCCATGAAGTAAAGTCAAATTATAAAAAAATTTCTCATGTTTGGGTAATTACAGTCACCCCCTAATTATGTATTGTCTTTCGAAAAAACTCCTCCAATGAGTAAATTTATGGGCATTCATTCAGTAAAACTGTATCGAAATTTCTGTACGCCAAAACTGCATACAGTTTACCGAACCGAAATATGTGGTTCGGTTCGGTTCGGTAAATAACCGGATTACCGAAATTTTATTAAAAATATTTAAAAGTTTGATTTTCTTCAATAGATTTTAGTTCAAATAATAATATTACATATGAAAAAAAAAAACGAATACCGAATCGATCGGCACGTACTGAATTTTCGTTTGGTTCGGTTCGATCGGTTTACCGACCCAATGAATACCCATAAGTAAATTTAACATTGTAAGGACGGATATGTAAGACAATACATAGTTGAGGCCTGAGGGGAGCTTGTAATTATCCAAACATGAGATTTTTTTTAGTAATTTGACGTCATCGTCTCATGGTATTAAATAAAAGATCTTCAAATAAGTAGCTAGGTTTTAATATTTTCCCAGAAGTAAAACAAACCTGATAGGACTGTTTGAACGGCATCGAACGATACGGACACCGCGAGTAGGGGTGTCATCGAGGCGTAAGCTTTAATGATGTCAGGGTTGTGACTGAAGGCGTTAGCCCAAATATTATGTCCAAAACAGAGTGCTAAAACAACACATAGTTCAAGAACAAGAGTCAGCTTAAGAGTGACAACCGCTGCACGCTTAGCTCGGTTTGGATTTCCAGCTCCTAACTCGTTCGACACCCTCGTGCTGCAATTATATATATCAGCCACGTTTATTTACAATATATTTCTTTAACAAATAACGATAAGATAATAGAATTCGAAAAGCATGTTGATTTTAATTTTCTTTTACCTGGCTGCAGCACTTAGGCCATATGCAACCATGTAGCAAATGGCTTGTGTGTTCACACTGCAAATGTATAGTGGTTATTTTACGCTGCACTCAGGATTTAAAATAATTTCTTCTGTTTGATGTCCAAATTACATGTGTAAGCAGTGACAAATGCATGATTTTATTTAAGGGTGTTCGAAATTAAAAAAAAAAAAAATTAACACGACTAAAAGAATATATAACTGACCAAATAGCAATCAGAGAGGTACTAATTTTGGAGTTTGGCATCAATCCTGCTAGCAAAACAAGAATCTCAAAGGCCCAACACTCCATGCTGATACAAATGTGTAAAAATAAAAATAACAAATTAAAAATGGAGAATTCGTATGAGTATAAATGAAACAATTGGAAAAAATTCTCACCAAACCATAGCTGCAGAAGGCAAAGCCAATTTTAAATTGGAATAAACGTAACTCAAAGACTCCGAAGTGAACCCTTCCCAAGTTTTCTCAATCTTCTTGGCTTTGAAAACATATAAGACCAACATAAAAAAGGATAACCATAATGAAATCGAAGCTGCTAATGGAGCTCCCCTGTATGCAAGTGGGGTCCGGTGAACCAAAGTATAGGCGATTCCGACGTGTAGGGCAAGAGGAACAAACGAGCACATGACAAGCGGCATAACAATAGATTGTGTTTGTAGGAATCTTAATATGTTTTGCAATAAACCATGAGCAAACAAACCGGGAATGAGGTACTTGAGATAGAGACCAGCTGCTTTTGCAATTTGACGATCTTGATGTAGTAATGAGAGTATGATGTCGGAATACCACCAAAGAGTAGATACGACGATTGCGAAGATTAGTGTAATGATGCAAGATGCCTGAAGGTATATTCCTAGCGCCCGGTGCCTTTTCTCACCGAATCCTTGCCCACATAATGTCTCAAGTGCACCACTTAACCCAACCTACACCAAATAAAACCAGTGGAAACAAACTTCGACAAGTCCTGGTTTGGCTGGTAGGATTAGCCATGATTAATTAAATAATTGAATTTCATTGAATGTTCAGTTAGTCCAAAAACTTCTGGGGTATGACCTCAACTGCAACTTTTGGGATTTCAAAGTATAATGTTGGACCATGGAAGGTTCAATAAAAAAGTTCTATAAACGGCAAAATAATACATGATAACATTGTATTTCAGGGTCGGTCCGACAAGTTATTGTGGTTATCAAAGATAAAACAACGTCTAATTATTTTGCTAATTAATTATGGATAATCACCCTAACCAAACGAGACATTAGTTTAAAAATGAAGAGGTTAAGTAATAATTACCATGAAAGCAAAACCAGAGACATTAGCCCATGAACTAGCAAGGTTAGAGCCGACGAGCTCAAGATCGCCTAGGTTGCCGGCAAACATGACCGACACAAGAGGGATAAAGTAATACGCAACATTTGTAAGTATCATCGGCAAAGCAAAGAGTATCTGATCCTTGGCCTCCGTCACGTCAACAACCTTGCTCCACCACTTATCCGCCGCCCTCGACCTCTGAGGCTGACTCTCCACCGTCTCAGGGTCACCGCCTTGTGAAGACATTACACCAAGTTACAATTCAAGCCCATGCATTCAAAAAATGAAGTGACGATAAATTAAACGAACTTCGATTAAAAAAGAAATGTATATATATATATATATATATATATATATATAAAGCCGACTAGTTAATAACTTGCATTAACAACCTAGGTTGCACAATCCTTAACTAAACTATTCTCAGGGTAGGCGAAAATAAGACGGTTGGGCCTAATTCTTTAATAAATAAAGTTAATTATAATTTCTATTTCTTTTTCTAAAATAATTTTTTTAAATGAGTAATTAGTATTTGATCTAAAAGTCTTTATTCTTTGCCTTTCTATTTGTTCTTTTCTTTCTTCAGAATTCAATTGTATGAATCCCGAGTTCTCAAATTATGCTCCTTGTTATATCAAGCTAAAAAAAATAAAAAAATCAAAACAAAATATGGAATCAGATATTGATCGAGATGAATAATTTTTACGTTAAAAAATTTGCCGAAACTATTGAATTACTTGAAGTAATATTATATTATAGATTTTCAATACATCAGTTGTTTATAGAGTATTAGTGATAACACGGTGCCTCTGCAAAGAATTTGTTCAAGGATGAAGTTAATTAAGTTTTACCCCTTGGCGTTAATGTTATTGTTTAACTCCCCTGTGTTTCCATGGTTCATATTCCGTTAACAATTAACAACATTTGAAATAGAGGATGCAAGTTCTTTTGTAATTACATGGGAATTTGGTGCATGTTTTCTACAATAAAAAGGAGAATTAATGCAAAATTAATTTATTCCTTTAACTCAAATTAAGTCGAACACATTTACTCAGTTGCAATACGAAATATAAAATATTAATAATAAAGGTGAAATTTTGAACGCATGTTTGTTCGAGATATTCGAAAATTATAAGTGTAATATATCCATTTCGTGTGTTTTCGATCCCTAATTTCCTGTAGAAGACATTCCGTAAGTGGAGCAATGGGATGTTTGTGGTTGCAAAAAAATATGTATTAACCGACTTTAAGACAAGTATACGCTCTACTGTGACCGTAAGAGTGCGATTCACTATCTGTAATAATAATAATAATATTAATAATAATAATGATAATAAAAGTATATATATACCAAGAAACAAATTTCTTACTTTCATCATTTACCCTTTGTATTCAAGTGCTAATATTACTCTCACATATCAAATATGGCTTATATAATTTATTTATTCATTAAAAAATAAATAAAAATGAAGTAATTATTCGTCCTGGCGAGGTTACGCCGATTGAGTTGATGAATCTTGAGATAGCTCTACCCTAGTCCATTTTGCGAACTTTGTAAGCAACAACAGCCCTACCATCTGTGCTGATAGCCCACAAATTAATCCAATCCACAATCCCTGTGCATAAAGATTATTAACTTTTAAATTAAGGGTTTGCATGCAAATAAAGAAAATAGGAGGTCTTAATAATAAATACCTTGGCATGTAGGTTGCACTTGAAAGCAAGAATACCGGCAATAGGCATGCCAATAAAATAGAAAGTACCTAAATTAATAAAAGCACCCAAATGCTGCCAACCACATCCTCTCACCACCCCTATAACAATTTTTAATTTGCTGCCAAATTAATTAAACCGATCCAATTCAAGATTTTCGTTAAAAACCCTAAACCCTACACTACTAAATAAAAATAAATAAATAAAAAATCAGATTTTAATATATGTTACTAGGTTTTGATTTTCCCTTACACAAAACCTGATAGGACTGCTTGAACGAAATCGAATGATACGGACACCGCAAGTAGGGGTGACATCGAGGCGTAAGCGTTAATGACGACAGGGCTGTGACTGAAGGCTCTAGCCCAAATATTATGTCCGAAACATAGTGCTAATACAACACATAGTGCAATAACAACTGTCAGTTTAAGAATGACGGCCACCGCGCGCTTAGCTCGCTCCGTGTTTCCGGCTCCTAACTCATTCGATACCCTTGTGCTGCAATTATATATGTCTCAACCCACATGATTTACAATATAATAATGCTTTAATTGCATTTGAAAAATATTTTTTAAGATCAATGTTTTTTTTTTTTACCTGGCAGCAGCACTTAGACCATATGCAACCAGGAAGCAGATGTCTTCTGAGTTCACACTGTAAATGTAATAGTATTCATGGTTAATTACTGATTAATTCATAATAGTGGTTTATTCTATGCTACATTAAAGGAATTTCTTCGATTTCTATAATCCTCGATTATCTCTTATCCAACCACTTTAAAAATACATGTGCAAGAGGTTCACAGAGAATTACTCCCTCCGTACCATGTTATATGTCGTTTAGGATTTGTTGCGCGAATATTAAGAAAATTAATAAAAATATGAATAGATTATAGAAAATATATATATATATATATATATATATATATATATATATATATAGTACTAAATATGAGTAAATTGCAAAAACTACCCCTATGTAATCCTGAATTGCTAAAAAAGTCCATGTATTATAAAAATTTGCAAAAACCCCCTATATAATTTTTTTATTAGCTCACTGTACCTACTGTGATTCTAGTCATTGGCCAAAGTTGAAAGAAAAATATACCCTTCAATTAATAACAAAAAATTAGAATTAATATATAATAGAGGCCAAATTGCAATTTTACTGAACTTCTGAAACTTAAATTATGTGACTGAATTGTAATTTTCCCAAAATATTATTAAACCTTGGTTGAAACACACAATACGCACACCATCACCGCCAACCTTCTGAAACTCCAATTCGCCACCAACCCAACTAATCACTAATCGTCTGAAACTCCCCAAAATCCGCCGCCAACATTCTACCCAAACGCCACCGTCACCTACTTCGACTCTGCCGACGAGCTCCAAACCCATCTCCGTTGTTTGAATCCACGTGAAGTCCCTTTGTCTTCCGGCGGGGCCTCAAACGGCGAAAGCATTATTTTTTTTTTCCAAGGGGCGGAGTTGAGAGGGTGAGGGAGAAAGAAGATGATGAGGATTTTAAAATTTTGAAAATTGTTATTTGGTCCTTTAAATTTGAATTATTTATAATTACATCAAATTTAACATACATTTATGTATAAAAGGGTGTTTATGTCATTTTTCCCCAAAATTTACAAAAAGAACTGCACAACCCGCGCGTGAGTACCACAATAAGAGACTTTTTTGCCTTTGACTTTTAATCATAAGGGGGATTTTGCTAATTTTTATAACATAGGAACTTTTTAGCAAGCATTTCAAGATTACTCACTAAAAAAAACTTTTTTAACTCACTAATTAAGAGTGATAAAGTGTTAATTTGTAAAAAAGAATATTAATAATTCATTGGAATTCTAAAGTGACAAATATTTAAAAAAAAAAAAAAAAAAAAAAAAAAAAAAAAAAAAAGCTCATCAAAAAAGCCAAATAATGTGGGGTGAAGGGAGTATGTAAATTATATAATATAAGTATATAACTAACCACAAAGCAATCAGAGAGGTACTGATTTCGGAGTTTGGCATCAATCCACCTAGCAACACAAGAATCTCAAAAGCCCAATACTCCATGCTAATCAATATATGAAAAACAAAATTGAGAATTTTGTCAAAAAATACGTAAAAAAAAATTGATACAATCAAAAAAAAAAAAAAAAAAATCTCACCAAACCATAGCTGCAGAGGGCAAAGCCAACTTTAAATTGGAATAAACGTGACTCAACGACTCCGAAGTGAACCCTTCCCAAGTTTTCTCAATCTTCTTGGCCCTAAAAACGTATAAGACCAACATAAAAAGTGATAACCATAACGAAATCGAAGCTGCTAATGGAGCTCCCCTGTATGCAAGTGGGGTCCGGTGAACCAAAGTATAGGCAATTCCAACGTGTAGGGCAAGAGGAACAAACAAGCACACGACAAGTGGCATAACAACAGATTGTGTTTGTAGAAACCTTAATATGTTTTGCAATAAACCGTAGGCGAAGAAACCGGGAATGAGATACTTGAGATAGAGACCGGCTGCTTTTGCAATTTGACGATCTTGATGTAGTAATGTCAGTATAATGTCGGAATACCACCACAGAACGGATACTACGATTGCGAAGATTAGTGAAATGATACAAGATGCCTGAAGGTATATTCCTAACATCCTGTACTTTTCCGCACCGAATCTTTGCCCGCATAGTGTCTCAAGTGCACCGCTCAAGCCAATCTACACCAAATAAAATTAGTGGAAACAAACTTCGACAAGTCCTCGTTTGACTGACAGGATTAACAATGATTAATTAAATAATTGAATTACTTTACTGAATATTCAGTTAGTCCAATAAATTTTTGGGTATGACCTCAATTGCGACTTTTAGGGCATGCCCTCAGTTGCGGGAAACAACTAGCTCTAATCAGT